TACCGGGGAGGTCGTGGGAGCGGAAGGCCTCGCCGCCTGGCTCTTTCTTCCCTTCCCCCATGTTCAGCTCCCCGCTTGCCCGCACTGGGGCTGGGGGTCCATGGGGCCCTCGGGGCCCGGTCAGAGGGGGCCTGTGTGGGCTGGCCGCTGTGCCCCATGAGGCACGGCCTAGCCGCGCTGCTGGCGGCCTCGGGCATCGACTCCCTGGCCCACAGCGGGAGCCCGGCGCGGGCCGCCACCTGCCCACTGCCCCCCAGACCGGACCCACGCGGCAGCGGAGGCGGCGGAGCGGGGCGCGTGCCCTAGCCTGAGGAGACGGAGGAGGAGGCTATCGCCGGCACCCCCGGGGATGAGACGGAGGACGTGGACTTCCTGTCTGGGCTGGAACTGGTCGATCTGCTGGACCCCCGGCGATTGGACTGGCCCCTGGAGCCCGGGCGAGGACTGCGCCTTCCATCTTGCCTTGGGTCCTCCATTTTTGGACAGAGCCATGTGCTTCTTCCCGGAAGAAGCCTCTGCTAGCCACACCCAGGATTTCTCTGGACTAACCAATAATAATCAAGGGAAGTGCACGCCATCACTATGACCACATCCTGTGTAATGAGACACTGACTCGCACCTGGCCAATCGGTGGGGCCCACAGTCCCCTCTCCTTCCCTTACTCCACCCCCGTATAAAACCCCCTGTCCCATCAGGCCTCGCTCTCTCGGCCACTGGGCTTGCCGTTGTGTCGGTGAGTCTGGTGAACGGGGAGTGCATGCTAGCTTGAATTAAAAAGGACTCTTTGCTTTTGCATCGGACTGGGTGGCTCCCTGGGGGTCTTGGGAATCTTGAAATCTGGGCACAACAGCTACACTTGACGAGTGCTTGCATTGTGCCAGGCATTACTATCATTGGCGTACAGATATTTATTCTTCATACATGGGATAGTGCCGTGGTCACTATTTGACAGATGAAGAAATGGAGGCCCAGAAAGTGAAGTACAGGTTTAAGGCTCTCTCAACATTCTATCTTAGACTATGTTAAGGAGCAAAACTTCCCCCTTAAATATATTTGTTACAAAGAAGTCCCCATTCTCCTTGAATTTTCTCTTTAAAATTCAACAGGGCCAGCAATAAATTACTAACATCACTAACAGAAAACAGAAGTAGCAAACACTGGCATCTAGCTCCACCCTCTAGAAGCCCAATAATGGGGGGCAGAGGGAGAAGATTCCGCAGGGGGGGCTTAGGGCCACTTCTTATCCTCCACCATCCCTTTTACTGCTGCTATTGAAACCCATCAACATGATTTGGAGCATGCATTAGAATCCCTCATTTTAAAACAAGAAAAACTATTAACGAGCATGTCCTGAGTTCCTACTGAGTGTGTAATGTTTCATTAGACATAAAACAAGGCTGGCATTACTTGTGAAACAAGGTCTCCACGTCCAAGTTCCTGCAATGCAGAAGAAAACACCAGCACATCAACTACTCAGTTGGATCAAAGCAAGACAAATCAATATCCTGTTTGTCTGAGCCACAGAACTACTAATTGCCTTTAAGTGGACAGTATATTTCAGTAAATGAGATGAGCTAACTGCCTGCCTTCCCTTTTCAGAAGCCCATCACCAGGCAAGAATGGGGAGGAGCCTCTCCGTTTATGAAGATGGCTTTAGGGAGAGTATAAAATGTCTGTCCTGGAGGTAAAATAAACAGAAATGAGGAAAGGAAACAGACAAAAATACAAATTAAAAAAAAAAAAAAAAAAAAAAAAAACAGGGAAAGATCTAGCAATTCTGGAAATAACAGGAGTTAAAGATCATCAGAAAATGTCTCCATGGGTCCCTAGCTTCCCCAGTAATAAAGCTAACACCAGACAGTGGGTGGTTTTTCATGTACCGCTATAAATGCTTTACATTTATTGTCTCATTAAGCAACTAAGTTAGATGAGTACCATTAATATTTCTATGTTTTAGATGAGGAAGCAGAAGCACAGAGAGTTTGAGTAGTGCTACACAGTCACACAACTTCTAAGAGACATAATCAATATTTTTAAATGGATGAGAAAAGGTAACCCACTGAATGGGAGAGGATATGATATAGCAGATAAGGGGCTAACATCCAAAATATATTTAAAAAAAAAAAACTCATACTACTCACCATCAAGTTTTTTAAAATCTGATTAAAAAATGGACAGAGGATATGAATAGACATTTCTCCAAAGAAGACATCAGATGGCCAACAGATACATGAAAAGATGCTCAACATCATTAATCATCAAAGAAATGCAAATTAAAACCACAATGACATGTTACATCACACCTGTAAAAAAGGCTTTTATCAAAAAGACAACAAAGTACAAGTGTTGGGGAGGATGTGGAGGAAAGGGAACCTCATGCATTGTTGGTGGGATAGGAAATTGGTGCGGCTGCTGTGAAAAATTAAAAGCAGAACTACCGTACAACCCAGCAATTCCACTCCTGAGTGTTTATCTGGAGAAAATGAAAGCACTAATTTGAAAAAATATATATGCAATCACTATGTATTGCAGCATTATTTACAATAGCTAAGATACAGAAGTGACTTAAGTGTTCATGGAATATTACCCAACCATAAAACAGAATGAAATCTTGCCATTTGCAACAGCACTGATGGACTTAGAAAGACAGACAAATACTGTATGATTTCCCTTATATGTGGAATCTAAGGAACAAAACAAACGAACAAATAAAACAAAATAGAAATAGACTGATACAGAGAACAAACTGATGACTGCCTGAGTGGAGGGGAAAGGAATGGGTGAAAAAGGTGAATGGGACTAAGAAATACAAACTTCTAGTTATAAAATAAGTCGTGGGGATGTAATGCACGGCACAGGGAATATAGACAAGAATATTATAATAACTTTTTACAAAGACAGATGGGTACTAGACTTATTGAAGTGACTGATCACTTTGTAAGGTATATGAATGTCGAATTGCTATGCTGTATTCCTGAAACTAATGTAATATTGTATGTTAACTATAATTTTAAAATAACATTTAAAAAACACACATGAGTTCAAACACTGAACCACCTCTAAGCAACCATCCTCTGGTCTGTTCTAGCTCTTTTGCTTAAATTAAGCCTTCACATCTAATGGCCTAATGAATGCTGATGGCAAGGAACCCAGGTAAGCCTTTCCTGGTAATTCTGCAGGTGCTGACCTTGAGCATGTTCTCTGGGGTGAATCCCCCTGAATAGATCTGAAGAGAATTATAGCAACAGTGGAGTGAGCTGGAGAGGCTGCCGGAAATCCTAACAGATGGCAGAATATTCTTCAAACAGTGTTGATGGAGCTCTTGCGATCATACGCAGAGACAACGTATGAATGAGAGAGAAACTGAGGATGTCTGTGTGAGTGTGAGAGACAAGAGAGCGAACAGGGACGAGAAAGGAGAAAGAGCAGTACTGATGAGTTTGTAGTAGCTTCTAGAAGATTATGAAGCATATTGCAAACAGGTATATTATTGTATGAATTTATATGATTTTTACAGAATAATCACATTACAGGAGACCAAAGATAATGGCCACTCTAACTGCTGCAGTCCAGAAATGTAAAGTTACAGTCGGCTAGGCAAGATTTTTAAGTTATCCAGCTGGTTTAATGTCAGGGCCAAGAAGAGAAATCAGGTTTCCTAAGTCAGAGTTTATTTGCTCTTTCCATAACCCTGTGCTACAGTGTCTAATAAACAATTTCAAGTTTTTTTATTATCAACATCTAAATTTAATATGAGCAATAAGGCAGCAAAGGCTTCTATAGCGTCTGCATTACTTTTCCTCCATCTGTGTGAAGTTGCTAATTACCTGCTGTCAGTGAAAACAACCCTTGTAGGCAGCTGAAAAAATGAATTGGAAATTCGGGTTTGAAGTCAAGTAAAAAACACAGGTGTTGCTTTGTTCAGTTAAAGCCTAACAAGAAACTTAGTGGGATGAAAGGGTAGGAGGTGGGAAAAGGAAAAGGAGAGATGACGTCATCCTCATCCTCAGCTGAAATTGTCCGAAAAAGGATAAAAGTTAGAAAACACTTTCTGAGCACTTCCTAAAAGGGAATTTGGAGAGTTTGGATTTGCAGGACTAAATAAGTGTCCACAAAACAATCGACATTTTAGAAAAATAATTTGTGAAAAGATTTTTCATCTTCCTCTTCAAAAAATGCAAATAGAAAGAAACGGGCAAGAAATTATAAAGTTAAAAGATGTTTTTGTTTTGTCTTTTTGGAGTGGAGCGGGGGGGGGGGGGGCAGTCAATTCTATTTAATGTTAAAAGGTTAGTATTTGTGCACTGTAGAACAGTAGACTGTAATAGGCACTTCAGCTGTGCTACTGTCATTAGGACTAAAAACAAATTTTGGGTTGTTTTTCATAATGATAATTTACTTTTCAGAAGTCTTATAAACAGTAGGCAGTGTTCCCAAATTAAAATATATTGTAGACGATTGACTCTTCACTTAACACTTACTTTTCTTATTCCAGTTTGAAATTCTATTTAATACAGGAAAACAGCAGACTTTATTTTGATTACTTCTTTTGCATACTCCAAGGCAAGGAATTCTCAGGCTCTGAAGAATGTATTGCAAAGCCATGGAGAGGAGGATTACTTGAAACTTCAGGAAGCTCTTTGTCCCCCTTCTCATCTCCATCATTTTTAAATCCAGGTACATTTGTAGTAGGAATTTGTTCTGTGAAACCCTGCAGCAATATTTCTCTTCATTTCCATGACAACAGCTCCCTATCAACTTCTGAAGGAACTTGCCTGTATTGTAAACAAACCTCTCTTGGCAATTGGCCTGTTTTCTTTCTCTATCTCATCTTCCATCTGTTCAAAGGCTTTGCTTCAAAAAGAAGTAGGTTGCAGGTGTGTACTTTTTCTTTCCTCACCCCCCTCCCCTTTTGTTTCTGAAAGAGGTCGATCTTGGAGATTAAAATTCTCTCAACTTGTGACTTTAACAACCTCACAGAGCAAGGCTGAGTACCTGTGTGTACCTGTGTTTACCTGTGAACCAATTTTCAGAGCGTATCAACATAGAGCGTGCTGGGTTCCATTTTAGCACAAGTCCCTCGGAAATAGGAAGCTGATTAATACACTTTATGAAACAGAATAAAAGAAAGAAACTATTTAGGGCCAGCCAAAATGAATCAGAAATAAGCTTGTTGTTGTTTTTTTGTTTTGTTTTTTCAGGATCTTTTGTTAAAGACTAAAGTGCCTGTTATAGAAATTGTTTCATGACAGAACTAGAACCTTACCAATAATCAAGGTGAGAAAACTTTATTTTCTTTAGAAAAAAGAAAATGTCTCTTATGTGTTTAACTTGAGGTTTCATGACCTCAAAAAGGCATATAATTTTAATCCTCAGGACTTGAAATGTGGGTCAGTTATTTGTCCAATATAACAAATTTGACATTTTTGTTGTTGTTCATTTACTGACACTCTTAAGTCTTTTTTTAAATTCAATGTCCCAGCTATTGGATCATGTGACTACTAGAGTAAACACAATTGTCTGGCATTATGCCAGATATCAGGGCTGGAAAAAAGAGTCAAGCCAAAGAAAAAAGATACATTTCCTTCACTGAAACACCAAATTTGAAGAGAGATAACTGGATAGAGAGTATCTTGGCTAGAGTTTTAGAGGGGTTTGGGGCATATGAATCATAGTCTCCATTGAAAATGTTACTTTATTTACTTGTTTTGTTTGTTTTTAATTTTCCTTAAGGTTCCTGAGGAGACATCACCTCACTGAGGATATCAGCAGAAGGATATTTGATATCTCTGGAAAACCCCAGATTTGGTAAGTCAAATGGTCTTCTCGCAGATAAAAGTATTTTCATGTCTTTATCTCATTTTGCCATATGATCTAATTTGCACTTATGTTTACTAATCATTCAAAAAATATTTATTACCCTCAGCCAGGCACTGTGCTCACTGCTGGAAATGCAGTGGGATCATTTCTGTCCTCCTGCAGGTTCCTGGGTGGAAGCAGATACAGGCTTTAATCGAGTAATCACACAAACACATGTAAAATTATGATATGAGAACTTTTAATAGAGGAATTTGATATTTAGTTTTTAAGGAGGAGGTGAGGCTCAAGCTAAAATTTGAAGAAGACAGAAGTGAAGAGGACAAACAGTCCAACATATTTTTGTCTGTTCCTGTTATTGTTGTTAGTTAACTAGTTATTAATATTAACAATATAAAGAGAACAAGAGGGAGGGCAGACATTATAAGCATGGTCATCTGGGCAGCTTCACCAGAAGGTGCAGCTTCATGCTCCCCAGGGAACCACCTGTCCATTCCCTGCAGATCCCGGGGGGAAGGGGTCCAACAAAAGGGGAGATGAGCACATGCGCAGTGAAGTCGGGGTGCCATAGGGAAGGTGCTTGGCTGTCAGTCTAGCCTGGGAAAAACATAATTGGCTAGAAGGGTGGGGCCACTGCAAACTCGCAGAAATCTTGGAAGGGTAAAATGCCCAGACAAAGAACTTCCTCTCTCTTGCTTGTTCCCTCTCGCTTTCTCCCTCCGTGGCTTTCACCCATGCATGGGCCTGTTCTCTCCCACAGCCCTGTGGCCTTAAGCAGCTGCACAGCCCATGGCCATGCCCACATGCAATGGACTGCAGCTGGGAGCACAAACTAACCTATCCAGATGCTGGACTGGGCTGTATTATAATATGGAACAGAAATTCTGGACACTGACTTTCATTCTAGCCCTGCTGAAGACACAGTTGGATTTTTTTCCATGGTGAGGCGTACAGAGATGGGACCTTGGAGAGGAAACCGCCTTAATTTTACACCATCAGTAAAGCTTTCCACAAAACCCCGCTCTCCCATGGGGGCCTCAGAAAACCCCTTTCCTTGCAGCACCTCTAGAACTCCACTTCCACAGAGAGCACTCCTGCTTACTGGGATTTTAGTTCCGTAAGAGCAGACTAGACTGTCTAGTTTGCCACATTTTCCTTAGGGCCTAAAACTGTGCCTGGCACAAAATTCAACTCTCAATAAATATTTATTAAATAAATTAACTAAGCTGAGTTGAACTAAATAAAGAGGAAAGGGAAGACACATTCTGACAGGCTTTTGAAAAGATTCTTTTGCTGGAGGAATCATAGGATATGAAAAAGGCCATAAAACTCGGAAAACTGTCTATAGGTTTGGGGGCCTCCTGGGGCATTAAAGAGGTGCTTTGAATCCCTCCATGATGAGGCAGTGGGAACCACTGACTTCTTTCCTTCTTTCTCTCATTACTTTTTAGTGAGCAGCCAAGGTCCTAGGACTTACCTGAACTGTAATGCTTTCAAAGAAACAACTTATGTGTAAACCATACTCCTTTCTCAATGTAGACTTAGGACATCACCTAGGGAAACTGTGACCAGTTATTATTTCCATATTAAAATAAAAGCTGGCCTAGCATACCCACAGGGCAGTGCAGGGACAAACATATAAAGATAAAATCTCTCCTCCTCCTCCTATTCTTCTTGTCCTTCTCTGTTTCCCTCTCTCCTGAGCCCTCTCCCCCTCTCTCCCTCTCTCATTTTTTTCTTCCCTCTCTCCCTCCATCAATGACTATGAAGAGCATTCTTTACTCTGAAAAATCTTAGGTACACATGTATAAATTCTAAGGAGAAGGCAGAGAGCAGAATATGTATTGGCCTTGAGTTGAGCCATTCAACATGCATTGGGTATTCCCTGTGTGCCCAGGCCTCTCCTGGTCCCAACTGTGGGGATGGACTCTCCATCCTGAGAAAGCATCTGCTTAATTGGAGAAACTGAAACAATATCCTCAAAAGAAGTTACCAACAATAAGATTTCCACTCATGTGAATGAATTCTGTGTGGCGTTGTATATGCGTGCCCAGTGCATGAGTTAAATCGAGGAGGCTTCCTGAGATGTTTAAGTTTGATTTTGAAAGAGAAGTACCGTGATCATCAGAGAAGAGCAGAGAGGAAAAATAGAGAAATACTTTTCTTTGAATAATATAAATGTTTTCAACACCTAGGGCCATTTGGGGGGAAAACTATTCACCTCCGAAGCAGAATCCTAAATATTACCATAACTCAGTGGAAATTACAGCAAGCAAGTACATATTCAGCCGAAAGAATGATTCTCTTATTCTCTTTTTTAAAAAAATTATTTTATTTTTAAAATTTATCTTTATTGTTGAAAGTATTGCAGATCCTCCCCCCGCACCCCTCTTGACTTCCTTATTCCTTTGTACGGTCAAACAAGAGCCTGGTACACCAAAAAAATGGAAACACTTTCATTCAAAGTGTTTAGTTCATTCTCTTCTTGGGCTCAATAAGAGAAGACACCTTATTTATGAGCCACATAGCAGCATATCTCTTCAAAACTGAAATTCTCTCAACCTACACTATAAATTATTAATTTCGGTAGGCCTTTATGTCATCCTTCCTCTGCTGTAAGAAAGAATGCAGTGTTGTGGTGAATCATGAACTGTTTCTTCTAGCACACACACCTTAGACATTTAAAACATATCCCATAGGATTAAAAATGTAGATGATGTTCCATGTGTAAGGCATTTCCTACCTGAAGGCACAAAAATAAATTCATACTGGCTGTGAGTTTGTGCTGTGAGTGTTTTCACCTCATTTTGGATCAACACCTGCTAGTCTGGTCTTGTGTCTCTTTCACTCTCTCAGATACTATTTCACTGCTTAGAGGCCTTTGAAAGGCAACAGATAACAAACACTCTTTGGTCCCTTGCATTTCAATAGAATAACCTGAAACTTCTTATCATGAAGGCCCAGCCAGACCATGATATGAGGGAGGGGCTGGGGGGTTCCCAGGTCCTAGTTCCATGTATAAATTGATTTCTTTTAAACAAATAATGGGTTAAGTTGAATTCACACTCATGCCAAAAACAACTTTTTGCAGCAACACCAATGACCTGCCTAGGTCCTCCCATTTTCCTCATTTCAAAACTTAGCCCTCTGTTTACATCACATCTTATGCCTGCACATGAGTGACACAAACAGAAGAGGACTGGCTAGACATCAAGGCATCAAGGGCCCGGTTTCAGTGGGAGACTGCAGTGAAGTTATATAAATGCACATTGACAGAGCTGCTGATGAAGAGGCCTTTAAACAGCCCCTGAAGTGACTAGTCCAATAGCCAACTCAGGCCAGAGAGAACATGAAATGAGCGCACTGTGTGCACTCAAACTGTGTTAAGACATTTGCAAAGCCATTTTAGAATTAAATCACTAGTCCAGTTAAAAGAGCTTTGATTTTTAAATATTAATGAACAAGTGTGTGTATGTATTTAAATGATTCCTAAGAACAGAATATTTACTTAGTATGATTTGCAAGAAACTAGTGCTTAGAAAACTAGCTGCATTGGGAACTGTGACTTACATGCACACAGCAATCATTCACAATGCATCATAGTCCAGGAACTCCAGACACTCATTCTAGGTTGAATGAATGAATGAACAAACATTATCATCCATCCTATTCTAGCGGAATAACTCAGCAGCACAATTCTGAGATTGGCTAGTATGACTAAAGGGACAGATGCTAACCCTGTAGTTTTCTCCCTTCTGAGCACACATGCAACTTGTCATGGTCAATTATATTTCTGGCACAGAGGGCCAATGCCTCTCTGACTGGCCAGTGGAAAGTCAATTAGCTTCTCTTTAATTCTATTTCTATTTTTGTAGATTGAAAATGAGAATACAAACTGACCATCTCCCTCAGAACCAATGTGAAGCCAAAGGGGATGTTGCCAGACAGAACAGTATAAGCCAATAAAATTGGATCATCAGGTAAATCCTTAGAGTCAGAAAGGGAATTGGTGGTTGCCAGGGGCTGGGGCAGGGGGGTGGGGAGAGATGATTGAGGAGTGACTGCCTAATGGGCATAAAGCTCTTTTTGGGGTGATCAAATGTTTTGGAACTACAAAGAAGTAATGGTTGCATAATATGGTAAAGGTACTAAATGCCACTGAATTGCACACATTAAAATGGCTAATTTTATATTGTGAATTTCAACTCAACAAAATAATTGTATTATAACATTTACAGTTCTAAAGCATGTTTTTGCTAAGTCTGTGAAAAGAGTGGTGTGGTGAATGCTGTCTATCTATGTGTTTCTAAAGGATAACAATTGTTCCACAGTTTTTTAATAAACGTCTAGTGAGTTTACAAAGACCAAGAATAGATATCAATGATGAATGTGGTGATATCTTGATAAAGTCACACTGGTCTGAGTCAGAACCTGAAACCAGGACACATTTTGTCACTTGGTAAGACAGAATATTTCCTGCCAAGCAAGAAATTATTTATCTCCTTGAATATTAAAAAAAATAATAATAAAATAAAACAAACACCTCTTCAATAACCATTGTATAAATGCCATTAATGAGCAATATTAATTATGGGTTGTGTTCCATTTACACATATTCTCTGAAAGTAAAATTTCTTTAAAATAAGTTCTGTTGTCACAGTATATTTGAATTTCACAAATCTTGCTCATCAATAAATCAATCAGTATTTAGTGAGTTCTATTATGCATAGTGTGTGTCCAGCACTACTGTCAGACTCTAAAGGTTCAAAGAAAATGACAAAACAGGTTTTCCTCTCCACTATTGTTATTTACAAAGTTGGGTTTTATCAAACAGATAGTATTGAATTAAGCAAACAAAGGCAACATAACCCTGCACTTATGTAACTCTTGGCAAAATACTTTGGCATATAGTACCCTTACAGTCGACCTGGGAAGCAAGCAGAGTAGGGTCATTTATTGCCATACTGTAGGGTGAGAAAGCTGCAAGAGCACATAGTAAGTAGTTCAGCCAGGACTTGAATCCAGGCCTCACACACCTAGGCCAGCACTCATTTCATAATATACAAACTAGGGGTCAGAAGGTCTGAGTTCTAATTGTGGTTCTACCATTAACTTGCAAGGTGGCGTTAAGCAAGGCTCTCAGCCTCTTGGATTTCAATATCCTCCTCTCAAATGAGATAGTTGGGACACATTTTGTTAAATGTGCTCTTTTTGGAGCCTGCATATTCTGTTAGCAAGTACAGAAACTGCACATGCAGTAGCTAACTGTCCTTTTCTATCATGTTTTTAACCCAGGGGCACCTTTTATTCTCTATAATGAAGAGCTAATATGCTAATTAGACCAAACAGCAGAACGACCATCCGGACTACCTTCCGGACAAAGCCAGAGTTGCGAGGGCCGGCCGAGGCAGCCAGAGCTGTGAGGTCCAAGGCCCTTGCATGAATTTTGTGCATTGGGCCTGTAGTCTTAATATAACTTCGTTTTCAGATGCAATAGCCCATATTTTTTAAATGCTCACTATGTCCAGCTTGTGTTTGCAAAGCCACTTCAATCAAAGTAGCCTGACACAGAATTTATTCAAATTCCTTAGCTTCTCAAAGTCACACTGCTCCTATCTGCAGGTAGCATTCTTTCTTGTCTGCTGTATCCTTCACTGTATATAGCACTTTGGTTTGTGCAAAGTGCTTTTCCATCTCTTGTCTCACTTGGCATCACTGGTACCAGGCAAAGGCTCAGGCTAAACCACACTATCTCTCTCTAACTAACACGGCCCTACACCCAGTCCTGTTGTTAGTCTACAAGGATGTGACAGAGATAAGGCAGGATAGGAAACTTGACCCAGTGACAACCAATCAGAAGAGCTTTTGTCTGTGGATCTGACTAGGAGTGATTCATCAGCCACCAATCCCAGAGGCTTTCAATAAAAGAACAAAAGTCCACTATTGCCCCAAAGGCTGTGCTTGAGTTTACTCCCTTGTGGAAAAAAAAAATGTAAGGTTAACTGTCAAGAGCAACTTCAGAATTCCCACAAAACAAAACTCAAGGGAGAAGAGTCCAAAAGGACAAGCTAAGTGTATTCCTTCTATGTCTCTACAGTTTGAGAAAGAGGACAGTCAAGTGGTTGCATAATGCAGGATAAGCTGTTCCTAATGAATACCCCAATAAGCTAGTTTTTCTTAAATATCCACAAAATCATTAAGACTATACTTTCAGGGAACATTTCTATAGTTCGTTAAATATCCACAAAATCATTGTAAAAATATAAATTGTTGAATGGCTTCAATTTCCAATCGCAGATGGAGATTTGCCTGTGTGTCACTTCTTATTACTAGACATGAGCATACAAATTTTTTTAACTTGCCGAGTCCAAAGTTCATTTAAAATATAAAATCAAGCAAGCTCTTCTTTTCCCTTATTTAAATTGTTTTTAATTATTACCATGGAATATGGTTTTATTATACTCATAAGTTTTAGAATCCAGAAAAACTCCATCCATAATTTGTACCAGGGGACACAAAGGGCCCCAAAACTATGGCCAAGTGATGTGGGCAGGTAGGTGTTCCAGAAAGAGGTACATGGTGGGAAGATGACCTTCTCCTTCCAGAGAAAGCCTGACCCACACTTATCTATAAGGGACTTTCAGAGTTAGAAGGGAGTAATACTAAACAAGGGAAGCAAGGAAACAAAGCAAAAAGAAAACCAACTATTAAAAAAAAGTCTTCTACAATATGTTAACACTGTATTCAGAGTCTGCTTTCTCTACTTGTCAGCCTTGTAATTATTTCATTATTTTATCATTAGATGCAAAATGGTGTAGTCAAAAGAGTTATGGAAAGGTGATCAGGAGATAGGAGCTCTCATTATAGTCCAAGTTCTGACATTACTATTTAGATTCCCCTCAACCCAGTTATTTTTCATTTATTATACCATTCATTGTTCAATGATTACTTATTACATGTGTAATATTTTCCAAATGCTGTGCTGGGTGCTGGCTCTGAACGCCTGCCACGTGGAAGACTCCTTTCAACAAAGACGGTACAGGAAATCCCTTCCATATCGATTTCAGTGATTTGTACTCCATGACCCTTGTTACCTTGACCATGTCTGTTTGGATCAGAAATTGGCAGCTGACTGAAGCAAGGCCACGTATGGGCCTTCCTGCAGCTTGTAAAAAAGCTTGAAAGAAATGCCCCAGCCCTGGCTGGTTTGGCTCAGTGGATAGGGCGTTGGTCTGGCAGATTTAAGGGTCCTGGGTTCAATTCAAGTCAAGGGCACATGCCTGGGTTGCAGGCTTGATCCCCAGTAGGTGATCTCATCATTGATATTTCTCTCTCTCTCTCCCTCTCTCTCTTCCTCTCTAAAATCAATAAAAAATATTTTTTAAATGCCCCAAATGCTTCTCTATACTAGATAATAACCAATTGAACCATTAGAAGAATCCCTTAGGGGTTTAAGTGTCAAATATACAGAGAGGAGAGCAGACAGTAGAGTTTAGTAGATATAAGAAAAACAGAGATATAACCATATGTTCAAGCCATGAGGCAATAGAAGCCATACCTAAATATACACAGTGAGTGAAGGAGAGACTGCAGAATCGGTAGCAAAGGAAGTAGGGATCTTTTCCAAGAAGAGAAGATTCTTCAACACAATCAATAAATCTTTAATGTGCACTTCCTTTATGTGAAAATACAATTGAGAGTAAAGCAGAATCCCTGTCCTAATGGAGTCTACTGTGAGAGCCAGATATTAATCAAATAACCACACCAACTGTGATAAGTGCTTGGAAGATAAAATCACAGGGAGCTACAAGATGCAATGGGGAGGGGAAGATGACTTGGTATGTAGGAGGGGTGCTCAGTGAAGACAGCTTGGGGAAAGGAGATCTAAAAAAATGAATAGCAATTAAGTGAGCAAAAGTAATGTGGGAAGAACCATATCATGGAGACATTGGTAGAGTAAGCGTCAGAGAAGAGCAAGGTTAATCTAGAGAGTTAGAGAGAGGCCAGATCCCATCAGGCTTTGTAGGCCCTTTGAATGATTTGGGTCTTAATCCCAAGAGCTGCAGGAAGCCAGCAAAGGATCCCAAAAGGGAGAGACGAGTGGAGATGTACCTTTAAACCAGTGGTCGGCAAACTGCGGCTCGCGAGCCACAAGCGGCTCTTTGGCCCCTTGAGTGTGGCTCTTCCACAAAATACTGACTTCTGCGCATGGGCCACGAAGTTTCAATCGCACTGTATGTGCATGCCTGCATGTGGTATTTTGTGGAGGAGCCACATTCAAGGGTCCAAAGAGCCACGTGTGACTCGCGAGCTGCAGTTTGCCAACCACTGATTTAAATTGACAACTATGGGAATTAATGAGGGCTTAGAGTTGAAGGACCAGTTCAGAAGATCTGCAGGAGTCAGGGGAGAGATGGGAGCAGCCTGGACCAGGGGGGCTGGACAGTATCCTCAACATGCAGGGCTTCAGGTTGGAAAACACATTTAATTTATCTCTGCATCCCTAAGGTATGGCACCATTCTGGCACCTTAGTAAATACTCAGAAAATGGTTGTTGAATGAATGGAGATCGATTCTCCAAAGTCAGTGGTCAGTAATAATTAAACTTTCCTCTTTCACAATAAATCTACCCTAAATGACAGATGTCTAATGGCGGAATTATATGTACTACATGTTACTCAGAAGAGATATTTGAGGGTAACAGAAACTTTAAGCACCCTAAAATGACGCCATTAAATGTACCTATGCCCAAGATGCAGACTAGAATAGGAGTTAAGATCATAGATTCTGGAGTCAAAGTGCCCAAATTCATCTCCCAATTCACCCATTTCTCATTGTGTTAAACAAGATTCTCTTTCTACATTTGTTTATTTATATAAGGGAAATATTAGTAGTATTAACACCCATCTTCAAGAATTATTGTGACTATTAAATATGCTAATCATTTATCATGAGGCTTGACAAATAGGAAGCACTCTAT